TGCTTACAAGTCCGTTACTAATTCCAAATTACATGACAAAAATTGTAATCAGTAACGTAATTTATTACATTATACATTTTAGGCAATAAAATCTGACTACTTTTTAAAAACGTTTAGATTACTTTTGACCCATCTCGTTTATCACATTGATTTAAATAGGATAATCTTAAAATTATAAAGAGAAAGAAAATATATTCATTGTTAGTAACAACATTAAGTGCATTAATAAACATGTCAAGCTTTCCCAAACTGGATGTTTTTTTTTTAAATGAAAAGATAAAAAAAAAATAAAAAAAAATGTAAATTTAAAATAAATAACGAGGAAGCAGTATATGGTTAACCTCAGACTCTTTACACTGTTCTCCCTGCAGCACGTTACAGATTGAACTGTGTTGGAATCTGTCGGAATCCACCGGCTGGATGGATTTCCCTGCTCATGAATAGTGCTGCAGATGGCAGAGCCACCAGGGTCTGGGTGCTTCCCACATTCCTGCCTGACGATTCAGTGAACCACACGAAGTCTTGGCTGCTGTTTCCTCTGTGCTTCCTGTATGTCAGTATCAGACGTGCAATCACAACTGTCAGGCATGCGTGTGTGTGTGTCAGTTATGGTTTGCTGGAGATAGATGGCTGAAATTATAAGTGATGGACAGCAAGAAAGAGAAACATAATATGAAAACATCAAATATTAATAGGCTGGAAATGACAAGTTAAAGGAATAATATACAGAAAAAATGAAAGTTCTTCCATCACGTCCTCCAATGTCATTCCGAACCTCTTTCATCCATGAAGCACAAAATGAGATGTTAGGCAGAACGTATAAGCTTTTCTTTTCCATAGAGCTATAGAACACATACTATTTAAGGTAACAAAGTAGTGAAAAACAACCTATAGACCTATATAGATCCTATAGACCGTTTTCATGGCTTTTTAAAGCATTACAGCCCCTGGTCACTATAAACTGTAATTGTATGGGGAAAAAAAGAACATCAAAAAACAAAAAGGTTAGATAGTGTATTCTTAGTTTGTATTATTAGTTGTTCTATTAAGAGACTTAACTGCTGTCTCAAAAAGTATTTATGAAAATATAATATGTTTTAAGTGAAAATTAGCCGGTTGTCTGTGTGAGTCTGATGTAAGTTTGACATTATCCAAATTAAATTAGCAGTCATTTGCAGTCAAGTGATGATGCTTAACTTAGCAGTCAAGTGACGATGTTGAGAAATTTCAATTAGTAAGTTAATGTCTCTTATTTTAGGCAGAATTACTAAATTGTGATGCCGTTTCTTACTGTAGTTGAAAATTAGATGATAGCGTGATGCACAATTCAATACAGTTTAACTGAGATAATTTCAGTGTTTGTTCTTTTGCTAAATAAATCTCTGCAAATAAGCCTAAATCTGAGACAGACATTCGCCACAATACTGCTTCCAAAAATGTATGAGTGCTCCTCAAAAGCACTTCAAAAACTCCTGCATTCAGTCTCAGATCTCCAGTCGCTACACAAGAAAACACCAGACCGGCATTTTCAGGCAATCAAGCAGAAGGACTTGCTTTTTCATTCGCTTTCCACAGTATTGCAGAGAGAAAAACTGCAATATCCACTCTTGACCTTTGCTTTGTAGACCTCTGCCACCTCCAACATATTTACCAGCTGTGAGAGAAGAGGAAGAGGATGGCAGCTGAGAGAGATGGAGAAAGCAAAGCAGTAAATGTCAAGATCGAGATGAGAGGCTGAGACATAAAAGCGTCAAGTGAATAAGGAATACATAGAGCAATAGACAAGGAGAAAGACAGCATGTATGTGTGTGTGTGTGTGTGTGTGTGTGTGTGTGTGTGTGAGAGAGAGCGAGAGAGAGACGGAGAGAGAGAAATAAATTAGTTTATTTATTCTGGCTTCTGCCACATGCTTTACTCATTTTAGTTATCATAAAAAATGTATAATCTAACTGCAAAGTAATGGCCTTTAGAGGATTATTTGAATATTCTGTGGTAATCATATACAGTAATCAGTGCCCTTGCAAGTGTGATATTACTAGCAAGTATGTAGATAAGTAGCCTAACACTAATTGCCTCAGATCTTCATGTGTAGATCTACTTTCTTACACAGAACCGTTGCAACAAGAGCAACATACAGCAGTTTTGCTGCGTTTCAAATGATTCAGTGAATCTGTGTTTTAGAATAAATCATCTGAATGGATGATTCAATGTCTCGTTCATATCGCCAGTTGCTTGTTTTGTAACTGAATGAATCAGGATTACAGAACAAATCATCTGAATGAATGATTCAGTGATGATTTCATAAGGACAGTCACTTGTTTGTGTTACTGAAAGAATCAGCGTTGTAGAACTTGTTCACCTGAATGAATGACTCAATGACTCATTCATTGCGCCAGTTACTTGTTTCTTTATTGATAGAATCAGGGTTTTAGAATAAATCATCTGAATGGGTGATTCAGTGACTCGTTCATATCACCAGTTACTTGTTTTGTAACCGAATGAATCAGCATTGCAGAACAAATTATTTGAATGAATGAATCAATGACTCATTAAGAGCAATTGTTACTTGTTTTGTTACTGAACAAATCAGCATTATGGAACAAATTGTTTGAATGACTGATTCACTGACTCAATCGCTATGAATGAGTCAATGAATCAGTCATTCAAACTATTTGCATTACTGAAGGAATCAGTGTTGTAGAACAAATCATTAATTTGAATAAACCATTCAATGACTCATTCATAGAGGGTCACTTGTTTTGTTACTGAATGATTAATAGTTTTAAATAAATTGCTTGAATGAATGATTCACTGACTCACTCAGAAGTCACTTGTCATCACCTACCATTAATGCATAGACTATTCAACAGTTTCTTTATTATAATTTTTTAAGAAATTAACTCTTTTATTCATCAAGAATATATTTAATTGATGAAAAGTGACAGCAAAAACATTTCAATGCAGTTCATCCAAATAGAATTCAGACTAAACTAGTGTTCTTTTTCAGATTCAGAATTTTAGCGCTCTTGCCCCGTAGGTAAAGTTCAAGTGATTAAGCCCAAGTATATATAAGGACATCATCAAATTTGCATATATTTTACTCAAATATCTCCCTCAGAGATGGGGGATGAAACTTCTATCTAGGCCATTATCCTGAATTATTAAGCAAGTATTTTCCTTTAAATCTCTGGAATGCTATTTATTCTAATTCATGCCAGGTCATTACGGCTAGGAAAACATGCTTTGGCACAGTAACGACGTTCTCAGGAAATCATGTGGGTGTACATTTTGATGTTTCTTTTTTTTTTCAACTGCCCAGAATTGATCACTAGCCGGTTTGAAGTGATGACAAGTTCCTAGGACTGGTTTCAGGGTGAGCATGTGTTAAGATTAAAGTGCTAGTAGACCAAATAAGCTCCACGGTTGTGACTGAGGCCTCAGGGGAGATATTCCTCCTCAATCTCATAAAAAAATGCATCTCTGCTGTAGCACCACCTGCTCAAACCGACTAGTGGTTAAAGCGGAAATTACCTTATCAGCCGCCGTCTGTAGAGCATTCTGACACAGGGAATCATTAACGCTCAGCTTGAATCCCCAAAAATTGCTCTAGTCCTTTGAGTCCGCATCTGAAGCAACAGTCGGCTCATCCTCGTCCAGGACGGGGATCTGATTAAAATATCACACCTACCAGCCGACAGGTTTGCAAGAAGCTGTGGCTAATTGAGGTTGATTCAAAGCACCAGGGATGGAGGGACAAAAAAAATTTTTTTTAATCCATTTTAAGCTCCTTTCTATCCATATCTGCATCATACTTTGAGAATAAGCCTCTCTAGATTGTAGTATCACTTATTCATTGATGCTACTATGAAGCTCAGATTAAACTGCTCCCACTCAAGTACATTCAAACAATGCCTCAAAAGGTTGAATTTTTCCTCCCCCTCTGAATCAGATGTCTTGCTGTGTCCTGATTAGGTGAATCTCTTCACAATGTATGATTTCTTGAAGTACCAAAGTGAAGTTTGACACTTTCAGTTAGAAGCTGGTAGAGTTTATATAAGCTTATATGAGGACGGTGATAATTAAAGTAACAGTTTGCGCAAAAATGACCCTCATTAACGTAAACAGGTGTTGTTTTTTTCCTTAATGTGGAACACAAAAGATGATATTTTGAGAAATATGTCTTTTTGCTTTTTATCTTTTGTGTTTCACAGAAGAAAGAATATGCAGAGAATCAGATCAAGATCCAGTACACAAAGATGCAACACTACAATGAAATCTAAATATACAATCAACTAGGAACACTTCATAAACCTGTTTTTTACGCCGTTTTAGTGAGTAATTAGATCAAATTCAGTTTGATATGACCCAAGCTTCAAAGCATGCTGTGTGCGGAGATTCGTCCTGTAGAAGGCTCGGCTCCGAAGCGAAAAGCTGATGTGCGTTTGCACGCGCTCTCCTTTTATACCCGCGCTGCGGGGCGGGGTGCGCGTGGCGAAACACGCACGCCAACTGTCATTGGCTTGTTTAGTTAACACTCGAAGGTGATTGGGCTCTCGGGCGAGATCCCAATTCGTCAGTCACTGACGTAACGTTGAACGTGACTGACTGAATGGGAACTAGCAGTGCCACAATTTTTTAGGATTATTACTAAAAGGAACAGTTCAACCCCAAAATAATTTGCATTAGAACAGATTTGGAGAAATGTAGCATTATATCACTTGCTCACCAATTGATCTTCTGCAGTGAATGGGTGCCATCAGAAGTGGTGAAGAAATGGCAGAGTGGTGTGGATTATTGTGATGTTTTTATCAGCTGTTTGGACTCTCATTCTGACGGCACCCATTCACTGCAGAGCATCCATTGCTGAGCAACTGATGCAATGCTGCATTTCTCCAAATCTGTTCTGAGGAAGAAGCAAACTAATCTACATCTTGTAAAGCCTGAGAGTGAATACATTTTCATAAAAGTTAGATTTTTTAAATGTGATTTGCTATGTGATTGATGGCATAATGTAAACACGCAGGCCTAATCATCACATTACTATTCATCAAAGTTTAAAATTTTAACGCTAACCCAAAATCATCTCGTTCTCATGTCTTTTTTCGCCTATTTTAAAGAGCCCTTTTCTGAAAAAGGACAAGCAGGATCCTCAGCTTTGATGGTTGTATCTTGATCCGGAGTTTAAAGCCCCAGTTCTGATCTCCACATTTCATGTCAACATTTTTGACCCAGTTTATCTGCTGCTCCACATGAGGCTCTCTTGAGTTTCTAGCATATATTAATGTGAAATACATAAACAGTACACTGGGGGAAAAATAGAGAAGACATGTTTTTGAAAAAAGACAGGTTATCTTGACATATTTGTACTAGTACCTTAATGTCAGTCAGTCTTTTTGAAAAGAGTCCCCTGATAGAGCAGATATGAGGTGATGCTTCCAATCTCTTGCTGAGAAAGACAGACAGTCAGACAGACAGTCAGACAGACAGTCAGACAGACAGTCAGACAGACAGTCAGACAGACAGACAGACAGACAGACAGACAGACAGACAGACAGATACACAGGTAAACAGATACTTTATTTATCCGTAAGAAGAAAAAAATATATCAGAGATTATACAAAGATACTTTATTTATCCGTAAGAAGAAAAAAATGTATTAGAAATTTACAGTCTGACCCAATTTGCAAATATATCAAGTGCCTGCATTTGACAATATTATATCCCATTACTTATGTATACAGTATATATATATATATATATATATATATATATATATAACAATATTATATATATCAAAAAGTAATTATATTTCTTTTGAATCAGAATGAAAATTGTATAAGAACACTGCTCAAAAGTTGGTCAATCTCACTATTTAAATAGATAAAAAAAGAACTATTAATTAAATCAAAAATGTGAAATCAATATAAATATCTTTACTATCTTTAAAACACTTGTTTAAAATATTAAATATTTTATTTGTTTACTTGTATGTCATGTGACCATTAACGACATCAGAGAACCGTAAACACATATGTTGTTAAATTACCAAAATATTAGAGACTTAAAATCTTAGGAGTTAATTAGAGGAATATAATATATAGATCAAAAGGCTTTAACTGACCAAAAAAAATATATATATATTATTCACACACATTTCCACACAGTTAAATAGATTTAAACAGAACCATACCGCCAAACCAAACTTTATGCTAAGTATCTATCATTCTGACGATAGTGGTCCTGACAGAACTATAGGTGAATAGTACTGAGGCGTGAAATCATACTTCACCGCATTCACAACAATTTCAATTGTCTTCAATAAATTTCTCTTGAAAATATTGTCATCTTGTTAACAAAGGTAATGTGTAATAATAACTAATATTTTGCCTACTTATATAAATTATATATTATAAAATGATATAATATACTTTTATTTTAATTTAATGTGATGAATAAAGCATGACTTTTCACTGCACTGAATTTATTTTGTGAGGTAAGCCACAGTTTTTGAGAACCTCTACAAAGCAAATAAAAAAATCCCAAACATTGTATTTATATTGCCATGAGAACAATTCAGTGAACCATCTCTCCAACTGTCCTCTGAATTCAATATTATGCCACAGGCAGTGATTAAGACTTTGACAAGTAACTCAGTAAAGCACCTCTCTAAGCAACATTGAGCTGATATTGAATTGTCCTGCAGCATGTAGGAAAAACATAATTGACAACAGCAAAAATCAATTATTTTCAGTCACATCAACAATCACTTTGCGTGAATAACATTAACAATCTAAAGAACCTTTTTCCATTATAAAGAAACTTTTGTGGAATGAAAAGTCTCCATGGATGTTAAAAGAAATGTTCTTCATGGAACGATCAATGCCAATAAAGAACCTTTACTTTTAAAAATATTCAGTTAAATGATTACAAATTTAAAAACCAAATGAACAGTTAAAAATAGAACGTAATTATATTCATTAGAATATAATTTTCAAGAGTGATACTATATCAGCAGTTGCATACCAAAGGAATCTGAAAGCATTCCGCCACCATGATTGATGTCTCATTTTTACGCAATTCTTCTCCCAAAATGGAAGTGAATAACTTATTCTAAATTAGCCTGTTTGTCTAAATGACAATACCTATTGTTTAATGCCAATGCATCTGTCTGTGTCCCTCTCTGTAAGTACAAATCATCCACTTGCGCTGACCAACCAACAGCCACACTGCAGCACTGATGCCCTTCTATGAAGGTCCAATCCAATCAGAGCTCAGAGAATTCGATTGTCTCTCGTACAAGATTGATCGCAAGGCAATTATAGTCAAATGAGAGTTTAATAGTCGCATTGACTGCATTATTAATTGAACCGTATTAATGATGCATGAGCCAGGACTTTGGGTGGAGGCTGAATCTCTACACGCAACGGTCCATTAGCAAGGCCTTCATCTGGGTTGAGTTTTGGTTCGTTTTATTTAATGTGACCTCACTCCATAATGGCTGTTTGTGTTTGTTTCAGCTTGGTTTCCTATTAGCACAGTTGGCTATTCCCTATAAAACCTAATGAACAAGTTACCATAAAGCAACCAAGTTAGATTGAAAATAATAAAGCCTGTGTCAATTTGTCGACTTTTTCTTTGTCTTTTACTATCTTATTTTGCTTCTAGACAACCTCAAATTGTAAAACCCAATGACTTAATGCAAATAATTTGAGGAAACCAATTGCATTAAAAAATAAAACAAGTACTCCTAAAAAAGAACGTTTCTTGATGGTAAATTATAAATATAATTACATAACCTCTATAATTATATAAATAATTTATTAAATATAAATTCTATTCACAAATACACATACAACAAATACAATTTAGAAACTGAACTCAAGCATTAATGCAAATCAAACATAAAATTTTAATATTTAAAGCTGCAGTCCGTAACTTGTTTTGGTTAAAAATGATCCAAAATCAATATTTGAGCAAGTACATAACCAGCCAGTGTTCAAAACTATGGCCTTACTTGAGCCTGATTCACATCGGTTAGCTTATAATAATGTTTTCTGATTTGAGTGGTACGGGTAGGTTTTCGCGGGAAATTCGAGCATGCTGCTGCGTCATTACGTCACTTCTGTAAACATAAAGACGTTGTCCCGGCTGCTAGGCTATCGCATGTGAGGATCCTGCAGGTGGCCGATTGTTTATAGCCTTTTCTCACAGCAGCTGGAATAATTAAATGTCAAAAAATCATTTTGATGGCGGATTGTAATCCAGAAAGGATTATATGAAACACATGTGAATGAAATTTAATTATTTTCTAGTTTTAAATGTGCTTCTGATTACAGATAGCCTGGGATTACACAAGATTTGTATTTTAAAGACAACCAGTTCGAAGGGAGCATAGTTTGCTTTTTGGGTTAAAAGAATTTCTTGGTATGAAATTCAAATGGTATGACAATTAGATTAGACTGTGCAGAAATTGAAATCTACACACACATTATACTCAGTCACGCAATGCTGATGTTGTTAACATTAATAATCTGAGAATAAAGTATAACAATAATAATAATTTGCACGGTTTGATGTGATATGAGCTAATTGATCGTTAGATTAAATCACCATTGGTAGCACGATTTATGGTAATGCTTTTTTCCTCAGTTGGTCAGAACAAACGTGGCAGACTTGTTACTTACTTGTTCAGATGACAATATACAGTGAAAATTCTTATTTTGATCATATTCCAAGACGTAGGCAAGAATCTGTGATTACTAAGTATAGGATTCACACCGGTGCGGTGACTGACTGCCACACACACTCCTCAAAACATTAGATTCATCCGCGCTGGAGCCATGCTGACTCACAACCCACGCAAGCAAGACAATTCCGCAAGTAACTGCAATTCCAGGTTTTCAAACAGAGAGGGCGACAAAGAGACAAAACGTACGGACTGCAGCTTTAACTCCTAGTCAGAAGCAAAGCTTGAGTTCTGCTTAATAATCAGTTATTGAGTTCACAACTTTTTTTCTACTAAGTGCAGTGGGCTTTCAATAATAATTGATTGAAATGCACTTAGTTTAATTTAGTACGATACAATGCTCTATTCTCCTTTAAAAATCTCTATAATACATTCAATGTTTATAATGTATAGGCCCATTAGTAATTTTTTAGAGGTCTTGCAATCTAAAACACATCTTTTTATGCAGTTTTGTTGCAAATGATCTCATAAGTTCTGTTTTAAGACAGATCTCACAGGCAGACCTTCACGTTCTCACTTTTAGCATCAAAAACAGCAGGAATTCAGACTGGAAAGACATCCAGAGCTGAAAAAGGCTTCCCGTCGCCACTAAAGGGCCTGGTAATTTTTGGTAACGCATGAATTGCACTGCAGAAATAGCTACTTAACACACCACGGCTTAATGGTTTAATCCAGTTGAGCACTGAAGGCAATAGAAGGCACAGCGGCAAATAAGATATCCTGACACTGTAAATGAATTCAACCCCTTGGGGTGATGTCTAAAGTGGCTCTTATTAGTACTTGGGGGCTCGTAGAGAGCTCCTCTTGAATTATCCAGATCAATTACACTTGTAATGATCTCAAATCAGCAACAACCAAGCAGAACTAGATGCAGAAGAACAGTTTGACTTTGGAAGTGGAGTTCATTTTATAGGTGGTTTGTTATATAGTTGTGTAAGATTATACAGAAGAAGTTCCAACATTTCTGTACCTGAATGTTTGATCAAAGCTCAGTTATGCGGTTTCTATGCCATACACATCACCTAGTCACTAAAACAACAATAAAAACTATTTCTTAGTCAGTCCCACCCCCCAAACTCACACCATAGGTTGTCAAAGTTGTGTTGCTGAATACATGTAAAATAAAAAAATTAAATAAACATAAAATAAAGATAAATGTGACTTCATGAGATAGATAGTATATTCTCATATATATGCAGTATATTATATATATATATATATACTGTATATATATGATATGATAAAATTTAAACTGATAATTAATAACATGATTAAACTATTTAATACATTACTTAATATTAATATATATTAAACTGTATATATTTATTATAGTTACATGTATATATTTATATATACATAGACACTCACACACAATGACTTACTCTGATTTTTATTCATAGATGAGCAATAGAGTATTTTTTATTTAGTTTCAAATACTGTCTAATGATTAGATTATACAGTATAAACACATTGTAAACTATATAGAATAATACAATTATATTTATATAATATTTATACAATATAGATATTCTATTGCTGACATAACATGTATAACATATATAACAGAAAAAGTCCTTGATTTTTACTGCACTTCACTCCTACAGCTCTATTGTGCAAGCTTTCTATTGCTTTCTATATATCTATATATATATATATATATATATATATATAGCCTCTGCACCAATCAGACACACAATTTT